AGGTCCCTGGCTGCAGCCGCGGGTCCCACTGGAGCTGGCGCAGGGCCCGTTTCACGAGCACCACTTCCCAGCCCATGGAGTCGCTCAGCGAGACCACGTCGAACTCCACGGAGCTGGCACGACTGTGATCCCTCCCTGCCAGGCGCTCCCGGGCCAGGAACACAGCGATGGGGGGAGAGCTGAGGGCAGGAGAGAGCAGAAACCTGCTAGCGCTTTGCTGGAAGCCGAGAAGCGAGGTCACCCCCAGCTAACGGCGCCCGGCGCTGGGGCCGCGCTGGACTCGCCAACCCAACGCTCCTCAGCTGCTCCGTCCCGTGGCCCAGGGCAATCCCAGGGCCGCGGGCAGGGCTGGGTGAGGGCGATTTCTTCCTCCAGCAAAGCCCATCACCAGCACTGCTGGGCAAGCTCCCCGCACCTCCACCAGGCAGAGAACGTGGCAGCCCACGCTGTGGGGAGAGAGGTCCACCCCCCGGCGCGGAGGTCACACCAGGACCATCCCCGGGGAGCGCCGAGGCCCGGTCTCCGTGAGGGAGCAGGGTAACGTCACCCCAGGTGCTGTCCTTGCGCCGGGGCCCAGCTCTAACCTCCTCGCCGCGGCCCTGAGCTGCTTGGGGCCCCCGTAGCACAGCACCCGGCAGGAAGAGTAGGTGGGGGGCAGCACTTCGAGTAGAGCTGAGCTGGGGGTCTGCGGAGGCGTCTGGCACGGCTGCTGATCCCTCTCACTCTGCCACCACCTCGCTCAGGACTTTGGCCAGCCTCGCTCAGGGCCGGGCCCCCCGAGCAGCTCCCGCTTGTCGGACCGGAGCCGCATCCCACAACCTCCACCCTTTCCACTGCCCTCCCACTGCAGGCAGGGACCAATCCTCCTTCCTGCTGCAGGGTCTCCCGACACCCCCTACCTCGCGACCCCTGGGCATGCGCCGACGCCCACCTCACCTTCCTCCCGGATGTCCAGAGACTCCACGGTTTGTTGGATGGGGATGGCCCGCTCGTGCTTGTAACACACCCGCTGGTGGTGCGCGCTCGGCCCCCGCGCCCTGGCCTGCGGGGCCGCACCGTCGTCCTGCTCCTCCAAGAGCTCGGCCATTTCGGCATCTTCCACCTCCCCGCCCTGCGAGGAAATGCAGCAGTTCATCACAGCTTGTGGCAACGGGTTCGTCACGCACAGCGCCTGGGTTCACCGTGCATGGCAGTGACGGAGGGAACGGGTCGGATCCTGCTCTCCTCTGGCAGAGCACGCACAGCCCCTTTGCACAGCCCTTTATGGCTGGCCCGGCTGGTTTCCTGCCTGTTCCTGAGCAGGTCTGCCTGACTGCAGATGCGGGGGACAGCTCTGGGAGCCGCGGTGAGCTGATGACATGGCTCAGCATCTCTGGGGGTGCGGAGAGGACAGGGTCGTGCTGCCCTTCTCCTCCTCCTCCTCCCTTCACTGCCAGCTGCGTGGCACCACCGCTCACCTCGCACCAGGTCTGGTGCTCACAAGACTTCCCTGAATCAGTTTGACTCAGCGTGGCAAAAGGCAAAACCAACCTTCCTCAAAAATCACAGCATTTTCCGCCATTTTAGCCCATTAAATGAGCTGACAGAAGGGACAATCAAGAGGCTCCCCGAGGGCAGGCAGCCAGGCCACAGGAGCAGGGCCAGCAACGCGAAAGGCCCCTTCCTCACCTTGGCGATGTCCTGGTGTTTCTGATGAAGCTCCAGGCACTTGCAGCGAGAGAAGACTTTCTGCACGAGCTTCTTGATGGTAAAAAAATCCACAGTGTCGCCGTAGATGTGTCGCCTCAGTTCATGGAGATCCCTGCCCTGGGGAGGAAAGGGGGACAGCAGAGAGGGTGGTGAGCCCGGCTGCCGGGAGCCTCCAGGTCCGTGACCCCCATGCACTGTGACGGAGGGTCTCCGTGGCCCGGACCCCCGGGAGCATGACGCACTGTGCCATTTCTCAGGGGGCCCAGCTGTCCCCAGCGTGTCGGAGGGGGGTGCCTAGGAAAGATGCCTTGTCCTGGCTTTGCGTCCAGCTCAGAGAGGGCAGGATAAAGGCACATCGCTGTCTCGTCGATGGAAGGACTTCTGTCCTTCCCCGTGCTCAGCGCTGGGCCGAGCCCACAGACCCCATCAGCGCAGGACGCTTGTGCTTTATGCCGCAAGCCTTATAGATCCCTTTGCTCCCAAACAAGCTGTAGAGCTCCCTGGGTCACCTCGGGAGAGAGCAGCAGCCTGAGCGGGTGCATCCAAAGGGACTGGGGTTTCAAGGCTTTGCAAAGGGCCAGATCTAGTGGAGACCCCAGCTCTTAGGGGAAACCTCGCGCTCTGCTGACAGGCATTACCTCCGGGTCCAAGAAGAGATGGCAGTGAGCTGGCTTGCCATCCCGACCAGCCCGGCCGATCTCCTGCACGTAGCTCTCAAAGTTCTTGGGCATGTTGTAGTGCACGATGCCGCGCACGTCTGACTTGTCCAGCCCCATGCCGAAGGCCACCGTGGCCACCACCACTCGGAGCTGGCCGCACATGAAGTTGTTCTGGACGCGGCGGCGCTCGGCAGCCGACAAGCCAGCGTGATAGGCGTCGGCAACCCACTTCAGAGGGCGTCGGATGCTCTTCTTTGCTGCGCCCGTGGAGATAAAGCAGGAGAGAAGCTTTAATGGCACTTCATTACCATCGGCAACACCACACTTTTGATCATCAAAAGCACCCCACAAACAGCTACTAATTAAATCAGGGATGGAAATGAACAGCAAACACCAGGAAAGAGACACCCTCACCCCGAGCCTCTCTGGGCAGAAATTAGCTGTTGGCAGGGCACGTTGCTGGGCAGGAGCAGGGCACCCTCGCTCCAGAGTAAAGGAATGTGGGTGGAAACTGTGCCCACAAAGGGAATAATTCCAGCATTATTTTAATAAGCAGAGATAGTTCCCGAGGAGCCTAAGCAAGGCAGCAGGTAGGGATGGTCCAAGATCCCCAGGCTGCTGTTTTTCGCCCCTGACCACCACTGAGAGAGGGCTCCTGTCCCGCTGCCAGGGCAAGGAGCACAACACCCTGCTGCCTGTGCTGACCCCGAGGCGTACAAAACACATGCGTTGTCTCAAGCCGCTCTCGTTGGGTCATAAAGAAGTGCATTTTACCTGGTGCCTGCTGCTGTCTCAGTTGCACAGTAATTTGTTAGTTTGAACCCATAGCTGAGATGCACTGTGCACCTGGGGGAAAAGGGTGCAGCAGGATCCCTAGGGCCAAAACTACCAACACCTGAGAAGGCAGAGCTTGGCCAAGATGACAGAACCGGTAGATTCAGAGCACAAGAATAAAGGCTCCAAGCCTCAGACATTAGGTTTCGAAAGAAAGCCCTAGAGAGCAGCACAACTAAGGCTCCCTGCATACAAAAAGCAAACATAAAGCCTGGTGCAAATGACAGCTAATAATCATCCGTCATTACAGGCTGTCATCAGAAAAATCAAAGCCCAGCTCTAAAAATCTCTGACACAGCCAGGAAGAAGATAAATGTTTTCCTGATCCTGCTGTCAAGAGCAGCGCTCTGCGCCTGGGGTGAAGGAGCAGCCGGGAGCTGGGTTTGAAGCACCAGGTGGCTGATGGAGCCACTGCTGGTTTTCAGGGGCCAGCAGCCCCCACACAGCGAGGACACGGGCGCTCTGCATTGCCAGATCTGCCTCCCACGCCAGGTTCCCCAGGTTTCTCTGTGGATTCACTGCAGGAAATGGTCAGGACTAGTAGGAGGAGAGGGGACTGGGGTTGTGCTCTTCTCTCCGCAGCCACCGAGAGCGAGGATGGTGCTTCCTACCCTTTGCTTTCTTCCTTTCTGCAGCGCTGTCATCCTGCCCCGGCTCCCCGGCTGCCGCGGACTCCCTGAGCACCACTCCTTGGAGGCACGTCCGGATGAGCGCCGCGATGCGAGCTGTCTCCTCCCGGCGCGTGCAGTACACAATTATGGAGTCCAGGCACCCAAACCGCTCCCCTTGCAACAAGGAGATCAGGGCCTGCAAACACACAGAAGAGGATGAGTGTCATTGCATGCCGTGGGGCTCGCTATTTGCGAAAGCCCTATTTAAAAAAAAAAAAAAAAAGTCTGGGACTCTCTTCCTCTTCCTTTCTCAGGAATAACTCACTGCCCTGCCCCAAAACCAGGGCAGCCCAGCAGCAAACTTGAATTTTACTTTAAAGTCCCAGGGTACGAGCAGTGGGAGCTACCTTCAAGCACGCATGGGGGTATGGGGTACCTCCCTGGCTGTGCCGTCCCAACTCGCAGAAGCACAGGGTCAGAGAGGACTCCAGCAGGCAAAGCGGGAGACTGGATAGCCCAGCCGAGCTGAGCCAGCAGAGAGCCTCCGTTTCCTCAATAAACGCACAATCTGCAGCCAAGCCGGGGCAGGGCGGGGGAAGCAACCGGCAGAGACCTGTTCTTGCTGCTACCTGATCTCTATCCCTGTCCGTCGAGACAGAGAGATGCAGGTTCGGAGGCACAGCCGCAGAGCGCACGGCTATTCCTTCCCCCTCCTGGATCCCGAGGTGCTGAGCCACGTCCTGTGCTGTGCCCAGCGTGGCAGTAGCTGTGAGACCCAGGAAGCAGCGCACACCCAGGCGATCCCGGAGAACCTGCAAGGAAGAAGAGGCAAGGTCCATCTGCAAGGCCAGCGGCTGGGATCTTACCTGCGCTGCTAGAGCTTCCCGCAGAGCGGAAGCCCCCTTCTACCAGCACCCAGGAGAGCAGCTCATTTCCTCCCAGGTGAGACGTGGCTACGTTACAAACCCCGTGGCTCAGCGCAGGCACGGGGAAGGATGCCTCTGAGAGCACAGGGAACATTAAGCAGAGCCACTGGGGATTTTGCTTCTCATCTTTGGGTCCCTGAGGACAAGCTGCTCCAGCTGCTGCTGCCCCTCTCCCAAA